TGGTGAGAGTGAGTGGCTGTCAGCGATTCAGAGAACAAGCCAAGTCTCTGAGGAGACAGCACCTCAAAAGCAGAGCGTGCCCCTTCTTCTGTCTCCCCATCTCCCGTTGGAGCCAAGCCTTTGAAGGCAGAGGGAATGCTGGAGGGAAACACAGGTCTGGAGGCCTGAGGAGTCGAGGGTGGTGTTGGGAAGAGAGTGGCGTACACAGGCCAGACCTATGAGGGGCCCACCGCTCCTACCTTATATAATTCTTATCTGACTGCATTTGGGCTTCCGTTCATCCCATGAAAAAAGGGCCAAAAATCTTAGGGCTTAGCCGTCTAGAAAATGTTAAAACGAACAGATGTTTACTGCTCACCGATTCAATGCAAGGGCCTGCGGAAGCTGTCAACAGCCAGAAAGCAAGGGGGGAGAGGCTGGGACGACGTCGGGCAAGTCCATCAATTCTCTGAGCTGTATTTTTCTTATTCTTTTCCTGCACAGTAACCACGGGCGGCACACAATAAGTGACAGCAGCAAGTCAAAGGAAATGTAAGATGAAGTGCTACTCTTCCAGGCACTTCCAGTATTGCTGGGGAGACAGGTTATCTACACGGAAAGGTGAAAACAAGTATAAAGTTGCATAGGTAATTCTGCTGGTCCTTGATAAGGACAGTATTTGCATATAATTATTAAAACAGAATTTAGACTTCAGTAAGTCTTATGTCCTCATTTTCTATTATTTAAATGTAAATGGGTGTTTCTCATTTAAAAAAGATGAAAAACAAATGATTACTAAAGACATTATAAATTATGTTATATATATACAAGACTGAAAATCAAAATTGGACACCCCCCCAAAGTCTGGGGGTGTGTCTTACTAGGTGCATTATTTCCACGGTATTGTAGTGTGGTGGAAAGAATGTTGAATCGAAAGGCTGGAGCTCTAGGTTTCAGCTTTGACTCTTTTGCTAACCAACATCCTAATTTAGGGACAGATAACTTAGAATCTGAGCGTCACTTTGGCTATAAGAGTGCTCTAAAAGTTACCTTAAAAAATTAACCAAAAATAGAGGCCATCTGTAATACTCTCAACAATAAAAGTAAATTTAAAAAAAATTAACCAAAAATATAAGAACACAAGCAAAAACATTCTGTCAACTCACCCTCTCTTTAGGCTAAGTAAATTGTGCTACCTCAACTCTAAGGAAAGAAATAAACAAAATCAAATACTTATCTACTGGTTCCTCAGCACATGGTCTTAGTTAAGTGTATATACTTCATCCCTGTGCACTTGGATCGTATCCCACTCTTAAAAAATGCATATAAGTGAAGGTCTTAACTGGATTTTCTCTGCATGATATAGAAGCTGTTGCATGTACAGCCGATCACATTACGGCTCATTGCTGAAAGGAATGAACTTCAACAAACAGGTTTTAAAATTCACTCCTGATCATTTATGGAGTGTCTGCTATGTGCCAGATGCACTATTAAGTATGGGAGAATCAGAGAAATATTGCTCTCTAACATATCACAGTCTATTGGTGTAACATATAAACTGATAGAAGAAACCATGGAAGTGTCTTGCTAATGGTGCAAATCAAGAGTCATGCCAGAAATCCGGGACGAATTATACCTCTCCAGGGAGCCTCTGGGAAGACAGTGGTGGAGGTGATGTTTGAGTGGAGTCTTGAGAGGTGAGTGGAAATTGGCCAGGTGAACAAGGGGAAGGGCATTTACAAGCAGAGGGAATAGCATGGCTCGTGGAGGTGCCTGGCGCGTTTGAGAAACAGAGAACAGGGGTGTAGAGCTATAGCCCAGGTTTTGTGGGAGGGAAGGCAGATGGGAGGACAGTGTTGTGCAACACTCAATAGGTAACCATCCCTGCAGGTATGGGGGGCACAGAGGTGTCATGCATGATGCATCATGTGTGTTGTGCTTTTCAAGTAACTGGAGGCCACATGGAGGGAGTATGTAACTTGGGAGTAAGGAGAAACAAGTTAGGGAGACTAAAGAGGAGGTGGCAGTGGGGAAGGTTGACTTTGAGAAGCACTTTTGAAAGGGAATAGATAATATATAGTAAACCCTGAATGTGGAAGCTGAAGGGGACAGAGTAGAGTATGACTCTGAAGTTGCTCAGTACAAGGGAAACTGGGGGGCTGGTAGCACTGTTAATTGAAGGGTGAGAAGCCAGGATCAGGATGGGTTCTCTACTTTGGTGTGCCTCCTACTAATGAGTGGCCATTAACTTTGGCACAGGTGGTCAGTGACCGAACAAGAAGACAGGATGTCAGCAGCTGAAAAAGTACAGGAAGCTTATCGCAGAATGAGACCACTGATCTCTTCATTTCCATGCTTTTGGCTCAAGGTATCATTCAATTCAACATTTAAAACCTGCTGTCTAGGATATGTCTTATCTACTGCAAACCTCTTTTTTGGCTATAGTGTATATCATTCCAGTTATAAGAATGCAAAGAGTGGGAACTCTAGAGCCAGATTATCTGGGCAAGTGACCTCAAGCAAGTCACTCTACCTCTCTGTGCCTCAGTTTGCTCATCTGCAAATAAGTATAAAAATCATTCATGAGGTTGTTGTAGGAATTAGTTTGTATATGTAAAAGTGTGCCTGAAACATAGTATAAGTACCTTGTAGGTTTTTGCTATCATTAGCAATAAGTAATAGAATACTTGACTAAAAGTGGTACAAAATAAAACATTTATTATCACAGAATAAGTTTGGAACTGGGCAATTCCTGGGTTGGCGATGTTGCTTAAGCAAGTTAAGGACCAGACTCTTCCTATATCCCACCTTGCCATGCTTAGCTTGTTAGTGATTTCTCCCCTCATGGTGCCAGAAAGGCTGCATGCAGTAGCTCCAAGTTATCAAGTCCTTACATCTTATATGACCAGCATTCCAAGCAGGAAAAAGGGGTTTGGTACAAAAAGAGTTTTCTAATTTGTGTAACCCTCACTTATCAAGAAGGAGAATCTTTCCTAAAAGCCCTCAGTAGTTTTCCTTTCAGCTAGAAATGGGTCACAGGCCCATCCCAAACTGTAAGAGAGGCTGGGAAAGAATCTGACACTTCCAACCTATCACAAATAAGTCAAAGTGGAGCTGGAGGTGGCTGTTGAGTGGATAACCTGTAGTGCCCACTGCAATCTGGACACCAAAGAGTTTCAAGGATGCCTCATTCAGGCCAGGATAATTGAGAAACAAGAATGTAGCAGGCCCTGGCCAGGTAGCTCAGTTGGTTAGAGCATTGCTCTGATATGCCAAGGTTGCAGGTTCGATCCCCAGTCAGGGCACATATAACAATCAGCCAATTAATGCACAAATAACTAAAACAACAAATCAATGTTTCTCTCTCTTTCTCAAGTCAATAAAAATTTTTTTAAAAAGAACGGAAAAGAATGTAGCAGTATTTATCCAGAGGGAATGAGCCATAGGCTGTATTCTTCAGGGGTCATTCTTTTTAAGAATAGCCTTTTAATCCAAGTGACTATCTTGGTGAAAAATGGAGGGAGGATATTTTTGAGCAGGGGGAACAATTGCAGTCTTCTCGCTCATACTAGGCTGTCACCTTCCCTTCCCACAAACCAAAGGCAAGAGCTCATAACTCTTGTCTAAAAGGTCAGCTAGGCGAATCACTGTTACAGTTATTTAAAAGAAAGCAAATGCGGGCTTCTTTGCCCTCGGATGCCCCCTTGCAGCAGTCTCACTCACTGTGGCAGGGATAATCAGCAGAGAGGGCAATCTCAGAAGAGCTACTCTACCTCTTAGACGCAGGTCTTAAATCCAACAGTTCGTCTACAATCTACACCCATCCCCACAGTCACTGCCAAAGTTTGGGCCCATGCATATCTCACCTGGACTACTGCTATGGTCTCCGATCTGAGCTCCCCTTCAAGTTTCCATCTCAAGAAAGACTGCATGCAGCAAGGTGGATGGAGAGCTCCAAGGGAACCAGGAGAAAGCTCTTATAAACATCTACTGAAAGCCTTATTTCCACAATTCAATTCCCTTAACAAAGAGGGGAGAAATTTTAAAATTCTGAGGCACTTAGTTATTAATCTGATTCTGGCCTACAGGTGGCTGTTCAATGAATACTTGTTAAATTAAACTGATTCAAGGTTTTATTTATTCAATCTACTTAAGCTTATGTAAACTTGGAGATTTGTGTCAAGCTGTTAAATTGGAAAATATGTGAAAAGTACTATTTTCAGTGGACCAGCTTTCCTCTTAATGAGCTTTATGAGCTTAGTATAAACCAGGGGGAAGAGGGAAGGGTTCCAGGAGAGGGGACAGGAAGGGAGAGGTGAGGAGGAAAGACGAGAAAAGCCTGTTTATATCATTTCCTACACTGGTCTTCCTTGCTATACTTATTAACCATCTACTGCCCTCTAGTGTTCGCTGTATAAAGTTCTCACCTGAATTCCATTTTATCACCAGGAAGGGACCAAACCTCTTGTTTTGCAGATAAGCAACTTGAAGTCCAGAGAGGTGAGGTGTCAAACTGACCTAGGTGGCCTCCTGGCTTCTTAGTTACCCACTATAACTTGTCTGGCAAACTCTGGATATTAAAAGCATTTCTCAGACATTTGAATAACTAATCGATGAAAGTTACAACACACTAGTCATTGAATAATAATTTTAAGTGTTATCCATTATTTCCAATGTTATTCCAAATAAAGCCAAAAAATAAATGTTGGTCAAGTTTACATAAGAATTTATAAGTAATATGGTTACATTTTAAGCTTAGTAAATTTTAGAAAATGCCTATATTATTAATTAGAATAGCTCCAAAGTAGATTTGGTCACTTATCAGAACTGATTTGTCATTGTCTCCACGTAGGCTTATATTCTGCTAGAATTCTCCCAAAGGAACCTCTTTGCTCATTGTTGGGAAAAGGGGGAGAAGGGATTGTCATTTTAACTTAGAACACATATTTTCATCATTTAATCATTTTGCTGGTGGGAATAAATGGAAAGGTATCCAGCTTGGCATGTGACTTACAAGAACATTACTGAGTAACAAAAGATTTATTCAAATATTTAATTGGAAGGAAGTACATCTGGAATAAGTTTCATTGGAATACATATGTAAAGGAAAGTAAGTCCATTAGAATTAACTTATCTGGACTTTATCTGGAACTAGAAATGTTAACAAATTGGAGCCTAGAAGTCTTAACCACTTTTTTTTTTTTTTTTTTTTGCAAAAAGCCTGTCATTTTCCAAGTTTATATGGCAATTATACCTTATTACTTTAGGTAGAGCTTTGTTTCCAGCTAATAATTTAGAGACAGATCACACAAATTACCTAATTTGTTTTCTTTCCCCCCTTCCAAAAAAAAAGGAAAGGAAAGAAAGTGGTAGGGGGCATTTGCCTGTCTTCAAAATACTTCAAAAACCCTAAGATCAGTGAGTTACCAGAAACTCACTACATTTGGGCTACCAGGACCTATATGAATTAAGAGACATTAAGTTTTGTCCTTAGATGTCAACATAGATCCCATTGATCAAATAATCAAGTCTCGAGTAACGTTTCCTGCGGAGGGATTCCAAGAGCATTCTGCCCAGGAGGACAAGGCCTATGGTGAGGAACAGAACACCAAAGAGCAGGGTCCCAATGAGGAGCCACTTTTCAGATGGAAGGCTGTGTTGACTTTCTGGAACACCGCGCTGGGAGGAGCCGCCTGAGCTGGTCTTCCCATTTTCCTGGGAAGTAGTTATATTCGTAGGGGAAAAATCCACATTTGGCAAAAGGCCTGTAGCAGGGTTGCGGGCTTCCTTGGTGGTCAGAGTTAGGTTGGAAATTTCTTTAAAGGGCACTGTTTCTGGTGGGCCTTGCAGGCCTGTAGTTGCCTGAAAGATGGCAGTTGGAACTGATTCTGTAGTCATGTTAGCTTGAGGTGTAGCCACAGCATGTGTCAAAATTGTAGAAATGACTGTGGGATGCTGAGAAGTGACTGTCGCTGCAGGCAGAGCTGTAGTGGCCACCTGTGGTTGAGAAGTCACAGACGGAGTCGCCGGAGCACTGGTGGGGAAGAGAACCGTGGGCTCTGGAGTGGTAGAGACGGTGTGTAGAGATGCAGCAGCTGCTGTAGTGGGGAATGTTGTCACATTTTCAGGCAGCAGATGACCTATTTTTTGTTCTGAGGAAAACTGTAAACTCTGAAAATGGCCTTTTTCTTTATAAACAGGGAACGGTGTACTCACTGGACCGATCTTGAATAGTTTCTCCAAGTGATCTGAGGCCCTGGACTTCTGAGAAAATGTATCTCTCCATAAGATATCACCGGGCTTTGAGTGACCTGTCGGACGAGGGGGTGTGGGAGTGACCGTTTGGCTTGGCAAATCAGGTTTGTCCGTTGACTGAAAATCTGAAAATGTAAAGAAAATAAAAGGGACAATTACATTTATAAGGTAGTTAAAAAAGACATACGTATCAGCTTGTTCAATAAGTTCCCCACACTGTTGGTACTTGACATTTCATTGAAACTTGTGCCAAATGGAAAAATACAAATTGCTGAATCAGGACCTGGGGACAGGGCCTCTCCACCAGACACTGTGGTTTACTGAGGGAGGGGCCGAGGAGAAGAGAAATGTGAGGAGGACGAGGCAGCCTGAGGAAGAGGAGAGACGAGCAGGGACTCGAAAGGACCTCAGCACGGGCAGCGAGAGTTTAGGAAGATGGAGACGCTCGGCGGCAAGGCCACGGAAGAAGGCTGGGCCGGGGGACGCGGCAGGGGACGGGGAGAGGGACCCCACGCGAGGCCAGAGCTCCTGCAGGCTGGGGCGGCTGGGATGTGATGACAGCTGGGGAGCAGGCGATCCTGGAGAGGTTAACAGTGGGCGCAGGGGCAGGCAAGCAAGGCATCCTGGTGATTTGCTCTGACAGGAGGGGAGGGGGAGGAGGCTGGGGGGTTCTGGTCTCCTCAGAAGGCATGGAGGCCAAGGCAGCTGATGACATTTTTCAATTAAAAAAAAACACACAAAGTTTCAGCACCACACTCAGGGGAGAGAGGCAACCTAGGAGATTTAATTTTGACTCCCAGAGATTACAATTTTAGAGCCAATGTCTTAGGTTCGGAGGACGATGGGAGCAATATTTGAAATCACGATGGCCACGTTGCTGACATAAAGGGCAGAAAATCACACAGTCCTGATTCCTACTGAAGAGGAGCCAGCCTCAGGGGCTCCTCATGCATGAGAAGGTTTAGAACTGTGCCCTCAGTCACACACCCCATTTATCACAGCGCAAACCGCAAAGGTTTGTTAAAGCGATCAGGACAGGGAGGGATTGTTTGAACTACTCTGCTCTTTAACTAATCATTTCACTTTGGTGAGAACTGCAGAAAACAAATCTGGCCCGTCACTTCTCTTTATATGGCCTGTGTGCTAAGAATGGTTTCTACATTTAAAAAAAATTTTTCTTTAAAAATATATCTTTGTTGATTTTAGAGAGAGAGGAAAGGAGAGGGAGAGAGAGAGAGAGAAACATTCATGATGACAGTCGTTGATTGAGCCTGAACCCCAATCGCCTGGATCCTAGGTCGGTGCTCAACCGCTAAGCCACGCCCAGCCGGGCTCTATATTTTTAAAAAAAATTGTCTTTATTAATTTCAGGGAGAGGAAGGGAGAGGGAGAGGGAGAGAGAGAGAGAGAGAAACACCAATGATGAGTCACTGATTGGCTGCCTCCTGCACGCCCCCTACTGGGGATCGAGCCTGAATTCTAGGCATGTGCCTTGACTGGGAATCGAACTGCAATCACCTGGATCATAGGTTGATGCTCAACTGCTGAGCGACGCTGGCCAGGTGGTTTCTACATTTTTTTAAGTGGTTAAATAAAAAATAATATTTTGTGACACATGAAAATGACATGAAATTCAAATTTCAGTGTCCATAAAGTTTTATTGGCACACATCAGGCTTATATGTTTACATATTGTCTATCACTGCTTTCATACTGCAAGGTCAGAGGTAATTAAGTGTGACAGACTGAATATGACCCACAAAGCCTAAAATACTGGCCTGAAAAGTGTAAGATACTTTTTATTTGACCCTTGACTGAAAAAGTTTGCAGACACCTGCCCAGGATATAGTACTTTACTCTAAAATAGAATTTAGATGCCTTCTTTTCTCCAACAATGCTGAAGAAAAGAGTTTCTGCTGCTGGTGAAATCACATTCATAGACATAGCACCACCATGAGATAAACAGCATCTCTACGTTTAGGTAAAATATTTTTTAAAAGGGCAGAACTCAACATATTTCATTTTAAAGTAAAAAAAAAAAAAAAAAGGCTAAGGAAGTGCTCTGTGATATGTGTGAACTCAGAACTTAAATAAAGCCATTGACAAGAATGACCAAAACAACTATTCCTTTATCAAGAACGCAAGCTCATAAATAAAGCAAAGAACAGGCTAGTCCCATTTCCCAATAAGATAATAAGATTAATCCATCGGCAAAGATCCTAGAACCACACAGGGGCAGTGCACACCTGCTCCACTGACCTCACCCACTGAAGTTTGCCACTGGGGCGTGGTGCTCTCTGTCTCAGAGAGGCGAGCCACAGAGGCAGCTGGGAAACAGCTCTGTGCCCTCAACCCCTCTTTTGAGTTTCATTTTTAAGTGACTGACTATTACTTGAAATCAGCTGAGCAAACAGACTCCCAATTCATTCTACTTCAGGATTCCCCTATTCTAGTCCTTGGTAGAAATGATATCCCACAAGCTGAAAAAAAAATTTAATGATGCCAAGTTGCAATGGTATTATAGGATGAACAGAATACACTGCCATCTTTCTGCCATCTTTCAAACTTTCAGTCTGCAAATATTAGCCAATCATTTACAGGAAATAGTGTTCATCAGAAACACACCACCAAACAGGTATTTAATTTCGCTCCGAACAGGAGGCAGATAATTTACTTTTATGGGTAATATTAATCCATCAACATGGGCAGATTCATAAATAGAATTACACAAATAACTTGTAAACATCCTGTAGATATAAACAGTCTGCGGCACACTACGTCCAGGGTTGGAGCCACTTTGCACCTAGCTATTAATCAACCTGCTCTGGGCTGATGACACCCCCTGGTGGCTGCCAGAGGAACGGTTTGATTTTAATTCCACTTCATTACCTTTACACAAGCCCTTCAAAGGTTTTTGCACATGCCATTGGAGAGAATCTTTACAGGATGCTCCCTCTTGTATACATGCATTATAAAAGCAACAACATTACCAAAGTATTATGAAACAAAATAAATTCAACTATAATTTCTACCTGTCCTTTTAACATGTCTGTATACCCTTAAGTTAAATTTTTTTTCCATGTGATTATAAAACAACAGAATGTTTTTCACCAGAAATGTAGGTGAATTTGCTTGTTTCTACACTTCAAACTTATGTTTTAGTGTCTGCATCATATTCCCTCAAGTGGACCCATAATACTTTACACCCAACCATGCTCTGGCAATTGGACATTTATGTTGCTTTTAGTTTTTTTTTTAGACTAGTTATACAGTAAACAGCTTCACACTGATAGTTTTTTTCCTATTTTGGTATTGTTTCTTTAGTGTAGATTTTATGAAGTAGAATTACTGGATTAATATTATCTGTATTTTTTAATACTCTGCTTTAATTGTGGAATAAATGATAGACATAGAGAACACACACTGATAGTGGAATTAAGGACAGCATGAGGAAGGGATATGAGAGGCGAAATGTGATGGTCCAAGTTCCACATGATGGGAGCTCCTGAAGGAGAAGAGCAAACATTTTAATCCATGTTGCGAGCCCTGACCTCTTTGGAAACTTGGGCTGGCATATCCAGTTCCTGTTGGACTCCTCCCCTGGGTGTTTAACAGGCTCTGCAATGTTCCAGGCAATCAAGGAGGAACAGTGAGAAGCCATATCCACACCACACTGCAGGTCCCCTGTGTTTTTAGCCAAGACTATATACATACAGGCAGGAGAAGTGAAGGAGCCACACAGATCAGCTTTTTTCCAGAGGAAGAGTTGAGGGGAATTGCTGCTGGGATGGATGTGGTTTAAAAGTTGAACTTTAATATGGTGATTGCAGGGGGGCTGGGGGGTGATGGAGGTAGAAGAGGGCATAGAGGGGATAAATGGTGATGGAAAAAATTAAATTAAAAAATAAAAATTTAGCCTTAAATCATGAGATTTTCTGGTGTGCCTCTATATTTGTGAGCCCTATTGGCAGTTTTATTTAGGCTCTTTTGTAGAAAATCTTTCACGTGAATTATATCCTTAAATAATTCCAATCACAAAAGGAATTATTACCTCTAATTATCCTGTAACTCATAAGTCCCTTTGCTGGTTTCAGTGGACAGGCTTCCTCACTGGGACAGAAAAACAGGTAGCAGTTGGGTTGTCTAGTTGTTTTTCGAGTGTCGAAGATCATCAAGTTACATGCTTTGTCCCCTGTAACGAAAGGTTTCATAAGCATTATTTTGAAATAGGATTTTCTAAAGAGTACGGCAAGCATGAAGAACTTCATTTACTCTGGTGTCCAACACAAACACTTTTGTTCACTTGTTTGCTGACTGCTGAATCATTTCCTTTTCCTTAGTCACTTGAAGCAATGTTTAAAGATATTGGGTTTAGAAATTTGACTTAAGGTAATTTTGGCAAAACCAAATTTTAATAGCACATTTAATTCTTTAGAAATAAGCCTTCCATTTGCTAAACTATCCACCAAAATGTATATAGAAATACTGATTTTGCAATCTTTACACAACTCACAGTTGAGTTGGGCCTTAAGAAATGGATCTCACCCTAATGATTTCATAAATCCCTTGCATCCTGAAGGCATCTCGCACACCTATGAAGCCAGGAACCTGGCTTTCTTGGGTGGAGTCAGTAAATTCAGCATCTTACATAATATGCCTCCTTCCACAAAGAGTCTGAGTAGTGTATGGAATACAAAGTCTACTTTTCTATTTTTATCAGTGCCAGCCTTCTTTTGGTTCTTTCTTAATATTTCTCCCGTTCCTTATCATTTTTTGCTTTTCTCTTTTCCTTCTTTCCTCACTTTTCTCTCTTAACTTTCATTTCTGGCTTCTCTTTCTCTCATGTCCAATAGAAATTATTCTCTCTAAATATCATGGTCTAGAGTTGGCTTTGACCTCAGTCTGGTGCAGTTTCACACCTTGGCCTGTGACCCTTGAGATCAGTAGACCCTGGGCCGAGCTGAAGGGTAAGAGGCATGTAGGCTAATTATTAAAAATGCATGTACTTGACAACAAGGATCTTGAGAGTATTATGCTAAGTGAAATAAGTCAGGCGGAAAAGAATAAGAGCCGGATGATATCACTCATATATGGGATACAATACAAAAAGCAACAAACAAAACAAACAACCCTCCCCCAAACAAGAGCAACAAATTCACAGATAAAAAAACCAGAATGGTGGTTACCAGAGGGGAGCAGGGGGTGGGGACAGATGGTAAAGGGGATCAAATATATGGTGACGGAAGGATATTTTTCCCTCCCTTCCTTCTTATACCACAGCCATTATAGAGAGAAAAGGAAGTAAAGATCTAAGAGAAAACAGGGTTTTGTTGGCTAATAAATCAAGTAAGAATCACTAGTCCAGCGTTCACTAGCTCTTCTAGGCTCTGAGGGCAAGGCCTTGTCCATCTTACTCATTGTTTTATCTCCAGCAAGGAATCGGGTGCTCAATAAATTCAGTTGTTTTGTTTTTTCATTTAGGGAATTAGGGCAGGTTCACAAACAACTGAAAAACCACCACTGTTTCACTTAGATATATACTTCTTTTTTCAGGTAATAGGTTTGGAACCTGAAATATGCAAAGGCATGGTTTACACCTGTGGCCTTACTCTCCTTCAGTGTCATATGAATGGGTCAGACTAAATGACTTCCCATGCCCCGTACAGTCCTAAAAGCTTCAGTTAGTGGTCAGCGGCTTCCTGACGCACCTTATGTCACCAGCTCCACAGAAGGGAGGCAAAATGGAGATTTTTGTGCTTCCACTTAAAAAATCAAATGCTGATTTTCCTATGATGAGTTAGGAATTTTTTTTGTCTCAACTCCCTTTCTCTGTTTAAATGTTCTTTGTAATATTACACTGTATTGCAATACTCCATGATGATGGCAGCTAAGCATTTAAATACCATTTCTGTTTCAATATCCTAGATGCCTGTTAGAACCTAATACCGGTGGTTCTCAACCTTTTTATACCCAAACACCTGAGTGATACACACACACACACTTATCAGTAACTTTGACTCAGCCCAGGGGAGGGGAGGGGACACTTGTGGAACATTTCCTGGGTGATTCTGTCACCTACCTTTCTACCCCACTGAGAATCATTAGTATAAACCATTGAGCCATGTCAACCAGCTACTTATATCACAAAACACATGGAATAAAGGATGGTCAAGGGGCTATTACTTACCTGATATGTTTTTTGTTGAACAGCAAGAATTAATGCAGTCTTCTTGAGTTAATGTATGTATGGGCTCATTGCCTCTGATTCCCTTAGTAAGAGATGACTGGATGTCAATGACAACATCTTCTAGACTCTGGGTAGGACAATTATGACTGGAGGACAGCCGGACTGTCAGGAAACCAATGATGATAAAAGTGTAGGTCAAGCTCCGTTCTTCCCCGAAGAACATTTTAAATTTCTGCATAGTTTAAATCTTCAAAGGTCAAGGATAACACTCCCTCTGGTCTTAGTTTGTATCAAGGAGATGGAATATCTCTCTAGAACAAAAAGAAAGTCATCAGTGAGTTTTGTTTCTTTTAGCAAATCTAGAAAAGGTACATTTTATTTCCTTTAAGTCGATGCAAATGATTCACAATTTATAGGGTAGAAATAAACAAGTATTTTCATTCATTTCACTTTTTTTTAATCCTCACCTGAGGAGTGAGGATATTTGTTCCATCGATTTTACAGAGAGTGGAAGGGAGGGGGAGGGGAAGAGAAAGCGAGGGAGAGAAACATTGATGTTGACAGACATACATGGATTGGTTGCCTCCCACATGTGCCCGGACTGGGGGCGGGGATTAGACCTGAAACCCAGGTAAGTGCCCTTGACCAGGAATTGAACCCACAACCTTCCGCTGTGCAGGCCAAAGCTCTAACCACTGAGACACACCTGCCAGGGCTCATTTCACTTTTAATAGATTTGAGACAGCCTTCTGTTAACAACTTGGCAAAGAACTAATAAGCACAAACACGTATACTATCCTGTCACTGCTTAAAGATGGGTCTGTGAAGAAAGGTATAAATGGGAGACCTGCCTCTGAGTTCTAGAATCTGTCTTCTTCTTGCCTCTCCTAACTGGAAGGAGAAAGGACACGAAATCTCTCGTCACTGATAAAGCAGTGATCATAGGTTTGGGCATATTTCCTTTCTCAGTAGTAACAATTAGCATTTTGAAATCACCTGGGTGGTAGGCAATGTGCCAAGAAATTTACAAATATTGTCCTACTTAATCCTAATACCAGCTCTGCACAAAAGCTATTATTTTCCTCATTTTATAGATGAGGGAAATGAGGCTGCCTTTCTTGTTGCTTCTTCTTAAGTATCACACCAGAGGCCAGTGACCCTAATAATCTAATCCTAGGAAAAGCAACTCAGCAGGGGGAAGATTGTGGCTCAATTGAAGGAAAGTTTAGGGACACGTGTTCTTTTAGACACTTCTAAAAACGCAAAAGTCACACTATGTATAATGCCAACTCCACTGGTAAGCTGGTTCTTCTAGGAAAAATAAAAATAAATGTTAACCTGGCAATGCAATACCATGAACTACCCTCACCCACTCCTCAGAATACAAATTATTCACTGAATGATAGCTTAGAGCAGAATTACTGCTTCTTTAATTTCTTTTTTTTTTTTTGGGGGGGGGGGTTGTTAATGAACCCTTTGGAAGCCTAGTGAAGTTTTGGATATCTTCTGAGAGGCATGTTTTAAAATGCATAAAACGAAATACAGAAGATTACAAAGGAAGCCAGTTATATTGAAATATAATTATCAAAGTAGTTTGTTCAATAGCCTACAAAACTCTGGTGAAAGAAATCAAAAAAGATCTAAGTAAACGGAGAGCTATTCCATGTTCATCAATATTGTTAACATGTCAGTTCTTCCCTATTGGATCTATGGATTCAACACAATCCCAATCAAAATCCTGGCAAGTTATTTTGTGGGTCTCAACAAACTGACTCTGTAGTTTACATGGAAATGCAAAAAGGCCCAGAAGAGCCAACTCAACACTGAAGATTCAAGTTGGGGAACTGACACTACCCAACTTCAATAATCAAGACAGTGTGGTGTTGGTGAAAGAATACAGATCAGTGGAACAGAAGAGAGCCCAGAAATAGATCCCCACAAATAAAATCAATTGATCTTTGACAAAGGAGCAAAGGCAATTCGATGGAGAAAGGAAGTCTTCTCAAAAATGGTGCTGGACTAACTGGGCATCCACATGCAAAAAAAAAAAAAAAAAAAAAAATCTAGTGCCCGGCCGGGAGTGGCTCAGCAGTTGAGCATCAACCTAGGATCCAGGCGACCAGGGTTCGATTCCCGGTCAGGGCACATGCCCGGGTTGCGGGCTGCAGCCAATCAATGACTCTCATCATTGATGTTTCCATCTCTCTCTCTCCATCTCCTTTCCTCTCTCTGAAATCAATAAAGATATACTAAAATAATAATAATAATAATAAATAAATAAAATTTAAAAAAAAATCTAGACACAGATCTTCCACCCTTCACAAAAATTAACTCAAAATAGATCATATATCTAAATGTAAAATGCAAAACTATCAAACTCCTAGATTATAACACAGGAGAATACCGTTGTGAACTTAGAATAGGCAATGAGTTTTTATATACAACACTAAAAGCACAATCCATGAAAGAAAAAATTGATAAGTTGGATTTCATGAAAATGAAAAACTTCTCTGTGCAAGACACTGTTAAGAAAATGAAAAGACAAACCACAGGCTGCGAGAAAATATTTGCAAAACATATCTGATGAAGGGCTGGCAGTCAAAATAAACCAAAAAAACCCTCTTAAAACTTAATAATCAGAAAAAAAAAACCACAATTAAAAATGGAGAAAAGACAAAAACCTGCATACAAATATTTATAGTAACTTTACTCATAATTGCCCAAAATTGGGAGCAACCAACATGTCCCTCAATTGATGAGTGGATAAACAAACTGTGGTACATCCATACAATGAAATATTATTCAGCAATTAAAAGAAATGAACTATCAAGCCACAAAAAATACATAGAGGAACATTAATTTTATATTGCTGAGTGAAAGAAGCCATTCTGAAAGGTATAATTCCAACTATATGACATTTTGGAGAAAGTAAAACTACACTGACAGTGAAAAAATCAGTGGAGCTCAGGGGAATTTTAGGGCAGTGATACTGTAATGATGGGTACATATCATTATATTTGTCAAAACCCATAGAACTGTACAACACAAAGAGTGAACTCTAACATAAACAGATACTTTAGTAAGTAAAAAACAACAAAATAGTTTTTAAAAATCCAGAAATCAAACCAACTGCTACTTTGCTAACTGTTATGTTCAACTTTTGAAACAATAAAATAACAATGTTTGTATTTCTCACATTCAAGTCTCTATCCTAAACAAGCACTTTACACTGTCATTTAATCCTTACAAGAATCCTAATGAGACAGATCCCATTATTATCCTCATTTTTAGTTAAAATAAAAACAACTGTGTATTATATGTGCTGTTTTACCTATTAAATAATAAGTGGTACGTCTAATAACTGCCATCATTTCAAAACAGTGCTGAATGTAAATGGTATTTTCAGCTATGTGCAATAAGTATTTGATATGAAAATATCTGTGATTTCTACTGGTGGCAAAACAACTACCTTCACCACTATGATGGCTTTTGCCTACATGCCTCCTAAAGGAAATGTTACATTTCAATTAGACAGTAGTAAAGTAATAAAATTTTCCACCAAAGTTCACAGGCTCTGAAAACGATCGCGGTCTCCCTAGGTTAAGAATCCTGGCTGGCACAAGTTACCTTTTATGCTGCCACGTTTTTACAAGTCTTTTTTCGAGTCCTAAAGAAAACAAAACAGGAACAAAAGAGAAAAACCAGGCCAACACTTTACTTTGAATGGATTCTGGAAGAATTTCTCCTGAAACTCTTGCAAGGAAACCTGAACTATGCCAAGGGGATGGGGTAGGTGCTGTGTTCTCAGTTTGCAACATCTTTGTAGCTCAGCGAGAATCACGGAGGGGTTATTTTATATAAAATACTCAACAACTATTAGGTAAATTAATCTTCTACGCCATTATTATTTAGGCCTTTAAAGGTCTAAAGTGAAGCTGAATCTTGCAGAAAGAGGGAGGGGAAAGGATACAGGTGGGCGGGAGAGGAAGCCCCTGAGCTTCAATGCCCGCTCACTACAGTCAAACACCGGCTACATAACTAAGTCCAATGTTGGGAATCATTGTACTCACAGCATGACCGAATCCACCAACATCCACACGCACACACCCCACAGAGCAGTCGGTAATTAGTAGGTTTGGTAATGAATATAGGACACAAATCATGCAAGAAAGAAAAGGGGGAGATGTTTCCTTCCTTTGAGGAAATGCGTGTCGCTCGCTAAACTATTCTCCCTGCGCCGAGGACGACGCGGGGCCAGGGCCATTCACGACAGGTGCCC